GGGCGTGTGTGCGGGTGTGCCCTGTCTGTTCTCTTGACCTCTGTCCACCGTTGGTGGGACCTGCGGGTTGGTCCTCTGGGGGCTGCTTTTGTAGCCGGTGATTTTGGCCTTAAAAGGATCTTGGGAGTTTTCCTGAGCTCATTTGCTTTGGAAGGTCTGAATTAGGAGAGGCCGCCCTGTCCCAGGGATCCTCCTGACCCTGTCCCTGCCCGTGTCAGTCAGCTGGAGGTCGCTGTGACAAAATGCCTGAGGAAGTCTCGTAAGGGAGGAAAGGGTGATGTTGGCTCAGGCTCAGTGTCCGTGTGTGGTGGCTGGCTCTGTGGCTCCAGGCCTGTGATGAGGCAGGAACATCAGGGCAGTGGGGTGTCCAGTGAGGAAACCGCTCACCCCATGCCAGTCAGGAAGGAGATGAGCGAGGAAGAGCCAGGGAGGAAGGGGCCAGGTCCCGAGGTCAGGCTGCACGACCCCACGTTCTTCAGTTAGCCCCCATTTCCGCCATCACTTTGTGACCTTGCCTCTGATAAAGGCGGCACCTTTGTGACCCGGTCACCCCCAAAGGTGACCCAAGTAATTCCTTGGAGGACACGAGGGGTATCTGGGAACTGGAGGGCTCATGGCATCTGGGTCCCTCCCCAGGCGAAGAAGGGCAAAGACCCCAACGCCCCTAAGAGGCCGATGTCTGCGTACATGCTGTGGCTCAACGCCAGCCGGGAGAAGATCAAGTCCGACCACCCTGGGATCAGCATCACGGACCTTTCCAAGAAGGCCGGTGAGATCTGGAAGGGGATGCCCAAGGAGAAGAAGGAGGTAAGGGGCGGCAGGAGGAGGAGGGATGCTGGGCACGGGTTCATCCCGCACCACACAGATCTGACCGCTGCATCTGTCTACGCTGGCAGGAGTGGGACCACAAGGCTGAGGATGCCAGGAGGGAGTATGAAAAAGCCATGAAAGAATACGAAGGGGGCCGAGGTGAGCCTTCGAAGAGGTGAGTTGCGGCCACCATGAACTCAGCAGCCCTGGAACTGGAACTGGTGTTTAGCAGATTTATTTTTGCAGGGCAGACATGAGAGTTGGGGAATTAAAGATCGTAGCTGTTTCTGAGTGTGGTAGGGCAGCGCTTCTCAGACCTGGGTGGGCCATTGTCCAAGGATGGGTGATTATAGGGAATTCAACTCACTGGATAGATAAGGCCCATTTCCCTAGCGGGCCAGTTGTATTTGAAGGTGTGGGGAAATTTAGAAAAATATTGTAAAGCAGGTGTGGTGGTGCACACCTGTAATCCAAGTACTCGGAAAGGCTGAGGCAGGAAGACTGCAAGTTTGAGGTCAGCCTGGGCAACTTAGTGGGACCTTAAGTGGGAAAATAAAAAAGGGCTCAAGATACGGCTCCATGCAGGGGCCCTGGGTTCAATCCCCGGTGCTGGGGAAAAAAATTATGGAGCATAATGGAAAGTTCATGTGAATTTTAAAAGACAAAGCAACATTTTCACACCAGGGGCTGCTTCAGCCATGACCTATTTCTTGTGCTCCCTGGGGCCTTCGGGTGCCATACACGGCTGTTTACCTTAACAAGCAGTGAGAATGTGGCCGGGCTTGGGAAAGGCTGCGGGGCTGAGGGAGGGAGCTGAGGTCCAGCCTCTCCTCCCTCTTGCTGCTCTAGGGACAAGTCGAAGAAGAAGAAGAAAGTGAAAGCCAAGATGGATAAGAAATCCACGCCCTCTCGGGGCTCCTCATCCTCCAAGTCTTCGTCCAGGCAGCTAAGTGAGAGCTTTAAGAGCAAGGAATTTGTGTCCAGCGACGAGAGCTCTTCAGGAGAGAACAAGAGCAAGAAGAAGAGGCGGCGGAGTGAGGTGAGAGAGACAGAGAGAGAGAGAGAGAGAGAGAGAGAGAGAGAGAGAGTGTGAGAGCCCAGCTTGAGGTGGGAGGGGCACTGAGTCTGCAGGGGTCTGTGAGAGGGGTAGGTTGGAGCTGGGGTGACTGGTGGCTGTTGAGTTGCAGGAGGAGGTGGGGTTCCCGACCCTCCTCCAGGGCTCCCCACCTTCCAGTTAAGAGAGCTTTGGGTTTAGGACTCAGAAGAAGAGGACCTGGCCAGTACTCCCAGCTCAGAGGGCTCGGCGTCTGGATCCGACGAGTAGAGGAGGAAAACTGCCCACCTCTAGCTCCTGCCCGAGTCTCCCTACCAGTTTCTCCTCCCGAGACATGGTCCTCGTATTCCGGATTCCGTGCCACCCGAAGCCGCTCTGCAGGTGGCACGCACGTCCCAGGGGCCTGGGGGGGGTCCTTGTAACTGGGAGAGAGTGGATGTGAGGCTGGGCAGGGCAGCATCCCCACCTGGTCCTCCGCCAGCCTTGAGGACTTGGCTGTCGCTTGTCCTGTGCCCGTTGCCGCAGCAGGGTCAGGCAGACAGGCCTGTGGCTACTTTGGGGCCTATTTCTACGTTTATTTTGTATTTCCGGTCTGTGAAATTAACATTTATTAATAAAGGGATCTGACTTTGGAAGCCATGTCCACGTGTCTCCTTTTTCCAGCCCTGTGGCAGTTTGTACCCACCTTCCACGGTGTGGGTGGCCCCCCGCCCTGCCGGGCAGCCGGTCTCCAGGTGCATCCTGCTCTGCTCCTGCCTGCCGGACCAGCATCAGTGTCTGGCCTGAGAGTAGAATGAGCGCTGATCTGATTAGCAAGGATCTCTCTCCTTCTTGCACTCCATTAGCCGCGCTTCGGAGGCAGCGCTGAGCTCATCTCGGCACCTATGAGTCAAGGGTCTTCCGGGCCCGAGATAATAGAATCAGAATCGATGCTTCCCGGAGACGGAGCCGAAACTCGAGCTTGGAGCCGGGGAGGATGAGTCCCTGTGTGCGTGCGTGTGCGTGCGTGTGTGTGTGTGTGTGTGTGTGTGTGTGCGTGTGCGCGCGCGCCCGCGCGCGCCAGAAGCTTTTGTTCTTAGGATGAAGAAGGGTCACGCTCAGGGTGTTAAAACCTGTTTCAGCAAAGGAGGACGAACGTGAGATAGCAGCACTAAGGGGAAAAGGAGAGGCGGATGGCTTGCAATCAGAGTTTGTGCACGTGGGGCGGCCGCGTGGCCACGTCCTCCAGGGTCGTAGCGGGAAGTTCAGGGTCCGCCAGCGGCTACCTTCTTGCCGCCGCGCCTCTGTGGTGCTGCAATCACTGCGGGCGGCTGGGGAGGGGCGGGTCGCGCCTCTCTAGGCCGCCGTCTCGGTGGCGCGAGGGACTTGCATCAGTCTCGCCTAGCCCGATCCCCTCATTTACATGCTCATGAATAATTCAGCAGGTCACGCCCCGTTCGGCGCAGGGCTGGTCAGAGTTCAAGTTTTCCACGCCCGCTTCCGCCTATATATGCATATTCATGAGGCGCGCTGGGGGCGGGGCCGCGCGGTGCTCGCTGTGCCCGGGTCCCGCGGTGACGGCGACTGGGGGGACAGCGGCGGGGACGGGGTCGGACGCGTGAGTGAGTGCGCGAGGGCAGCCGCCCGGGGCGTGGGGCGGGGCCTGGGTCACCGGAAAGTTTGGAGGGGCCGGGGGCCCACGCTCCGGGCGGGGCGGCCGCGCCTGGGGACCCCCGCCCTCCTGTGCGTCCCCGCCCACCGGCCGCGTCCGTCCCGCCGTCCGTCTGCCCCGCCGGCTGGGTCTCCCCGGCTCCACGCGCTCCGGTCCCCGCGGGGCCCCTGCGGTCCTGGCCCAGCCCTCGCCCTTCGGGGCGCCCGGCTTGCCCCCTCCCGGGCTGGGCGGGCTGGGCGCCTCGGTCCCTCGGTCTGCAGCCCTGGCCCTGGCCTCGGTCACGCGGGCCGCCCGGCCGGGCTCCTCCCGCAGAGGCGCCCAGGTGGACGGGGCGCCCGAGCCCAGGTCTGCGCGCCGCACCGCGCCGCTGTGCCGTCCGTCCTTCAAGGACAAGGACAAGGTTTTTCTCCGGGCTGCTGCTGTCCCTTGCGCACTCGCCTGGCCGCGGCGTCCCTGGCGCGCGCCCGAGGAAGCCTCGCGGGAGTGGGCTGAGCAAGGGCTCGGCCCTGCTGGCTCCTGGGCTGCTGCCGTGCTGGGAACAAGCCGGGGCACGCTCAGGAGGAGGGCTGGGTTCCGCGGAGCCCGGGTGCCACAGGTTTTAGGGCGCCGCGCGCGAGCGGGGGCGGGCGAGGTGGGGCGCGCTGGGCCTGCACTGGGGTGAAGGAAGGGGCCCCAGCCCCTGAACCGGTGGGCAGGCGCTGTCCTCTCCCAGCCCGGGCCTTGGGGGCGGGAACTGAGGAGCTGCTGGCCGCAAACCTCACACCTGCGACCCGATGGCCAGGGAGCGCGGGCCTGGTCTCGGGGGAGGAGGAGGCGGGGACTAGGGCGCTGTTACTGGTCACAGTAATAACGGCCAAGTTTTCTCACTGAAACCTCGGGTCTATCACAAACCGCATTTTCAGGGAGGGAAACTGAGGCTTCGGGGAGTCACACACAAATTAGTAGACCGACCCCCCCCCCCCCCAATGTGAGCCCTGGAATCTCAGGGCCCAGAGTCCCCGGAGCCTCAGAGGAGGGGACCCCGTGGGCTTCTACCACGTGGCTGTCACCTGGGTTATTTCCTTGTCTCCCCCGAAACCCCAGGCCACCCCCATCCGGAGGGTCTGGGAAGGGGGATCCCCGGGGAGTTTTCCCCAAGTCCCCCCCCCCCCATGTTCTCAAGGCCCGGCTGTTCTGGCCGGCTCCTCCTCCCTCCTGGCCGGGCTCTGGAAATCCAGTGGGAGGCCATTGCTATGGCAACGGGACTAGGCCCTGACTTTACCTCATCAAATTCCAAGCCGAAGCCAACGCGATTGAGAAATTAAAGAAAAAAATGTATTCCAGATGTTTACTTTTTCTGCCTTATTTTTTTCCGTGTTTGGATGAGACAGCCGGCAGGGAGGGGGACCCGGGGTGGGGGAGAGGGAGGGGAGCCACTCCCAGAGGGAGGGGGGAAGCGGGGCGGGGCGGAGCCCCAGGTTGGGGAGGAGCGGGTTTTTCCCTGTCCTCTCCTCCTCCGGAGATGATTCAGATCCCAGAGCCTCCAGACTGGGCCCTCCTGCCCTGCCCTGCCGTGCCCTGCCCAACTGGTCCTCCGCGGGGCGCCCACCAGGTCCCGAGGGAGCCGAGAGTGGGCTGGCGGGGGAGGGGTGGCGCCTGCTGCGCCCGCACTCGCGTTTCTTCGGCCAGTGAGGCGGCCAGAGTTGGACAGGGTCTGGGCTGAGCAAGGATGTGGCCCCGGGGACCTCTGGGGACCTCCCCGAGCCTCTCCTGAAGTTGCGTCTTCCGGCCTTGCGCTGCCTCAGTGGGAGCGGGACACTTCCCGGCCAGCCTGCGGCCGCCCCCGCCCTCCTTGCGCGCTTTCTCCTCCGGGCTGCAGCCGCTCGTTCACTGTCCTCGCGCCCCTTCCCAGGCCGCGCAGCCTCGTGATGGAGGTGTCCGTGCTCCCGGAGGCGCCGGCCAGGGCGGCCCCACCGCCCCGGGACACGGATGTGGACGCGGAGGAGGAGCCCCGGCCCGCCGGCAGCGAGCCAGGTACCCAGGGCACCAGGTGGGGCGGCTGGGGGAGGCCAGGCTGTCCCCCTCTTCCCTGGGGGGTCTGTTGGGGTAAGGGAGGACGAGTGGGCCGAGTTGGAAGGGTCTCTGCTCCTGTGTGGACCACGCCAGGGAGGTCGCGGTCACCAGCAGGTCCCACGCAGCTGGGGCTCCATCTGGATGAAGCCTTGTGTTTTGCCAAGGGGGAAACCGAGGCACGGGAGGCCTCCTGGCTCCCTGTCTAGCCCTCTCTCCTCCCACTTGGCTGAAGGAGTGGGTGGTGTAGGATTTTGTTGCCGTGGGCAAGCCCCGAGAGATCCAAGGTCTTTTATTTGTGACGGAAAGGCCCTGGTAGAGGTGGATTTTTGGTCTTGCTTTTATTTCCTCTGTAGCTGATCTGCTTCTGTTTGGCTTAGGTCAGTAGTAAGTTTGCATTCCTGGTTGCACACCAGGTGACAGTGGGAGGTGGCCCTGGAGGGGGTGGGGTGGGGAAGCGGCCCAGCAGGTGGACATAGGGTAGGGCCACCTTTTCGAGGGAGGCCTGGGCTGGGGACCTGCCAGGCATCCCATGCGGTGGGCAGTGGGCACAGCCTGACAGGCTCCTTCGCTGGTCCATCGTTGGCTTGGAGGGGGCTCTGGGTAGGTGTGAGCCAGGGACAAGGACACGTCAGGTGCCGAGTGGAGGCTGGTGTGAGCAGCGGCTGGGTGAAGCTCAGGTGGTCACAGCAGGTTGCAGGACATCCTGAGAGGTGGGGCGGGGTTCTGTGGTGCAGAACATCTGACAACGCCACCTTTCGGCAGGTGACCCTCGGGCCAAGCCGCCTGTCCAGCCCAAGCCCCGGGCGCTGCCCGCCAAGCCTGCCCTGCCCGCCAAGCCCAGCCTGCTGGTCCCTGTGGGGCCTCGGCCGCCTCGGGGCCCCCTGGCCGAGCTGCCGTCAGCCCGGAAGATGAACATGCTGGCCGGACCCCAGCCATATGGGGGCAGCAAGCGTCCCCTGCCCTTCCTGCTGAGACCTGCAGCGGAGGCCACTGCTGCAGAAGCTGCTCAGGAGCCCGGGAAGGAGGAGCCGGCCCCCTTGACCCCACCCACCCGCTGTGCCGCCCTGGGGGGTGTGCGGAAGGCCCCTGCCCCATTCCGCCTGGCCGCGGAGCGCTGTATGGCCACCACCGTGGAGGAGATCCTGGCCAAGATGGAGCAGCCAAGGAAGGAGCTCCCGCCCAGCCCTGACTGCCTCTGGGGCTCGCGCCTCTCCTTCAACCAGGATGGCAGCTCGCGGTATGGCTCCCGGGCAGCTCCCGGCCGGGCCTGGTCCCAGGAGGGACCTGCAGAGACCCTGGCTCCTGAAGCATGCCCTGAGGAGCACAGCAAGACCCCCATGGCCAGGTGAGGGCTGGGGACCTGGTGGGCGGCCCCCTGTGCGACCGTGACCTTCATTCACCCGTAGAAGTCATGTGCTCTGAGTGGAGGCACTCCAGTCACCACGGCCAGAGTATTCCCGAGGCACAGGGAGTCGTCCTCACTGCACGTTATGAAACTCGGTCACTCTCTGCCAGGCGTGGTGGCCCACGCCTGTCATCCCGGCACGCTGGGAGGCTGAGGCAGGAGGACTGCAAGTCTGAGCCCGGCCTGGGAGACTAAGGCAACTTGTCGAGTCTCTGTCTCAAAATACAAAAGGGCTGGGGATGGAGCTCAGGGCAGAGCCCGTGGGTTCAACCCCCAGAGCAGAAAAAGTGCGAAGAAAGCGGTGTTCCTGGAGTTGAAGTGTTTGGTGCAGAAGTTTTAGCCTGTGCACCCCGAGCACTAGGCGCCCGCCTGGCTGCCTCCCTGACTGCGTAGCCAGAAGGGACGACACTCCGATCCATTTTGGAGAGGGGAAACTGAGGCTCAAGGTGACGTCCGAAGTCGCTGAGCAGGGAGGGGCAGAGGTGCCATTTGCGCTCCCATCCGCTCTGTTCTGTCCCAAGGCCTCTGGCTGCTTGCACCCCAGGCCAGCGCTGTGGTGCTGGACGCAGGATCTTGGGCAGGGGTGAGGGACCTCAGGAGCCAGTGCTGCGCCCAGCTGGCCCCAGAGCACTGCTCGCCCAGAGGGGACACGAGGGCCCTGCCTGCCGCCCTCCGCATCGTCCCCTGAAGACTGCAGTCACCTTTGCTTGTTCCAGACCCGGCCGCCTGCCCTGCAGTCCTGGCCACACAGGTCACAGGTCACGCTGCTGCCTCGTCATCCCTGCTCCAGGGAGGGCCCGAGAGCAGTGGGGCACTGGGCAGTCCTCCTCCTCGCCCTCCCTCCCCTCAGCCCTCCGGGAGCTCCTGGCTGGGGCACTGGAGCAGCGGCGCGGGGCGGGAGCAGCTCTGACCCCTTGGGGTTGGGGATGCCCCACCCCTGCTGCCCCCCAGAGCCCAGGCTCAACCCTTGCCGAGCAGGGCACCGGACAGGCCTGGGAAAGGCAGGTGGTGCCGTTCAGGTGCGGGGGACCCTCTCCCCACTTGCCATTTTTTTGTACCGGGGATCGAACTGGGAACCTTGTGCTTGCAAGGCAGGTGGCGGAACCACTGAGCTAAATCCTCGGCCCTTCTGTCCCTTTTCTTCACACCCAGTCTCTCTCTCACAGTGACCTCTCTTCTGACCTGGCCATCAACGGGGACCTGGCTCAGCCGGCCACTTCCGAGCCACCGACTCACGTGAGTCCTGTCCCCCATTCGGTCGAATCAGGGTGTTTAGCGTGGGAGGGGACCTCTGAGGCCTCTTGCTCTGTCTGCGCAGTTCAGAAGGGGAAACCGAGGCCTGTGGGCTTGCCCAAGGGCTGGCTGGGGACCCGGGCCAGGGTTACCCTGGTTATTGAGGAGGTAAGCTGCGGTCTGGCAGGAGGCCGTGCGTGTTCACAGGCAGCAGCTCTGTTGTGCATCACAGCTGCCACGTCCACAACCGGCACCGTCCTCGGGGCACCCCATAGAGACCCTCCAGGTCCCTGGGAGGGACCAGGCAGCCGGAAGGGCCCGAGGCAGGACCGGAAGTGTCCCGCTCTGTCCAGAGCTCCCTCCCCAGGCGGCTTGTTCTGGATCCAAGCAGGAAGTCTTGTTTTCTGGGTTTCCTCTCCCATTCCCGAGCACCCGCACGAAGCGGTCCTTGTCGCTTGGGGAGCTCTTGGCGGCAGAAGCCACCCCGCACCCCGGGATGAGAAAGACTTGACTGTTTGTGTCCATCCCCCCATGCTGCCTTAGTGCCAGAGAACAAAACTGAGCCCTCCCACCGAGGCAGAGAGGCAGATATCCTCCTGCCTCAGCCTCCTGGGTACTGGGATCACGGGTGTGCACCGCCACACCTGGCGACTTTGGGATCTGTTGGGGCCATGTGAAGCGAGTGGAGTGGATTCGGCTTCAGGGAGGTCACCACGACCTTAGCCTGAGCAGGCAGGTGGCAAGGCGAAGGAGGAAGTCCGTTTGGGGACAGCAGGGCCTGCGGGCAGCATGGTGAGCAGGTGGCAGCTGCCGAGAGATGTGGGGTCAGGAGGGAGTTTTTTGGTTTGTTTTAAGACAGAAGAAATGAGAACAGTTGGCGTGGATGGCAGGGAGCTTTTCGGGTGGACTGTCCCAACTCAGGAAGCATGGGGCCTGGGCCTTCGCCACCAGCAAGCATAGGGCTGTCTGCAGGGCGCCAGCCGCCGTTCCGTCCCGGGGCTGGGGTTGGGAGGCCACGCACGGCACATGCAGAACAGACAGTGGCGGGTGGGGCTGGTGAACCCTACTTCCCGGGAGGCTGAAGGGAGGGGCTGGGGCAGTGGAAGGGGGCAGGACAGCAGCCGGAATGGCCCTCGGGCTCTGCCTCTGTGGTCGGAGGGCTGTGGGGCTGAGATCTTGCGACCTGAGCTTTTAGGGCATGAGGGGTTTGTGGGAGGCGCATGCGGAGGGTTTCGGGTGTGGAGGACGTGGGCTTGGGAACTGGAGAATCCCGGAGTTGGAGGTGGAGCGAGGTGGGCCCTCTCGGGAAGCAGGACTGGGACTGGAGCCCTGGGGCTGGGGCCGCGAGGAGCAGGGTGAGGGGCTCGGGCCTGGGCCTCTGCCCCTTCTCTCCCCTGTGTCTCCCACTCCCTGTTCCCTGTTGTCTCCAAGCAGATGGTGCTCACACCGGTGGGTCTGTGAGGTGACACTGTGGCCAGCAGCCCACGTCCAGATGGGGAAGCTGATGCTCAGACCCAAGGGGAGGGGCCGGCCAGCCCCAGGAGGCAGAGCTGAGGCGGACCCTGCTCCTCCTGTGTGGCTGTCGTGGCCCCTGGGCTGAGAGCCTCCCCTCCACTCCCCAGGCTGCACACCCCTCCCCGCGTCCCTTCCATGGATGGTGGCCTCTTGAGGCCAGGGCCAGCGGGCTTGGCCTGGGTGGGCGCGGGACGCTGCACCAGTGAGTATAGGCCGGGCGGCTGCAGGAGGACCCTGTGACCCCCGAAGCGCTGTCGTCCCCACCCGGACCATCTCCGGCACCTGTGGCCTGCTCAAGCCCTGTCCTGGTGCAGTGCGGGGTGCGTGCGGCTGAGCTCCGCCGCCAGCCACGGTGATGGTGATGATGGTGATGGTGATGCTGCTCCTGACCTTTGCCTTGCAGGTTCCCTCCGGCGGGGCCCCGGGCCAACCCGCGGACATCTTCAGCCCCGCGCCTCCATCTCCCCAGCACGCTCAGCTCCCTGCAGCCCCAAGTCCCACGGCTTCTCCCCACCGCCCTGTGACTCCTCCGTCCCCAAGAACTGCCCTGCCTACTGCTGCCGAGGGCCTCGGTCCCCCCGCCAGCCCGGGGCTCCCCCCCGAGCCGGCCCCTGAAGCCCCCAGACCCAGCAGCCCTCCCCTCGAGCTGGTCTCAGGGCACCCCAGCCCTGAGCACACCCCAGCCACCCCGCCCCTGCCCCAGGGCGGTGAGATACGGGAGCTCACTAGGACGTTTCCCCCCGGGGAGGAGGTGGCGCCTACGGGTGACCCCAACCCACATCCCACCAGCCTGGCTCAGCGCCGCTTCTCGGAGGGCATCTTCCGGCCTCCCTGCCAGGACCAGGAGAAGCTGGGGGGCTCGCTGGCTGCCCTGCCCCAGGCCCCGGGTGGCCAGTCGGCCCTGGATTGTCCCTTCGGGAGTGGGACAGAGTCCAACTGGAGCCTGTCCCAGTCGTTCGAGTGGACCTTCCCCGTGCGCCCCTCGGGTCTGGGCGTGAGGCGCCTGGACTCCCCGCCGCCCTCCCCCATCACGGAAGCCAGTGAGGCCGCGGAGGCTGGGCACTGTGCTGGGGCCCCACCTGGGGACGCAGGGAGGCCTGTTTCCTGGGCCCAGGCCGAAGACCCAGGCGTCTCCCCATCCCCTGAGCCCCCCTCCACGTTGGAGGGCGCACCCCTGCTGCAGGCTGAGGAGAGGGCGGAGGACTGGCAGGGGCCAGGACACGAGGCCCCCCTGCCCCCCGACACCAGAGGGGCTGCCCTGTCCCTGCTGGAGCCCGCCCTGGGCCAGCAGCAGCCAGCGCCCCCCGACCAGCCCTGTGTCCTCTTCGCCAGCGGCCCCAGCCCTGGGCAGGCGCTGCCCGTGGAGGAGGCGGCCGTGACCCTGGCCCGGGCCGAGGCCCAGGACTGGTGTGCAGCCTCCCCCCAGCCTGAGGGTCCCGGAGGCGGCTCTCGCTGGCTGGATGAGCTCTTGGCCTCCCCGCCCCCGATGCAGGACACTGAGTCAACGACTGCCCACCCAGAGGTGAGGAGCCACGCGGGCTTAGAGACCAGGTGTGGGGTCTCGTCCTTTCCGTGGGGACATGGCGTGACAGGAGCCGGGAGTGGCTGGCAGTGCTGAGGTGCACGGTGCGGTGCTGGGGCTCAGCTTAGTGCAAGTCGAGAGCGTGTGCCAGCCTTCCCCAGCTGAGGGGCAGGCAGCAAAGCCTTGAGCTTTCCTTTTATTCAGGGGTGCTGGGCTGGAGCCCAGGGCCTTGAGCATGCGAGGTGTTCTGAGCTCTTCCAGCATTATATAATAATGGCACGGAGCCTGGTGTCGGTGCATACCTGTAATCCCAACACTGTGGAGACTGAGGCAGGAGGATCTCTGTGAGTTTGAGGGCAGCCTGGGCTACACACAGTGAGTTCAAGATCGACCTGAACTACATAGCAAGACCTGATCTCAAAAGCCAAAAAAAAAAAAAAAAAAGTCCAAAAATGCATTTGTCTTTTAGCCTTGTGCTGCAGGTAAAATGAGTCATAGGAGGTGCTAGGTGTTGTGTGCTGAGTGCTCAGTCCGTTGTCAGAACGTTGTGCAAGGCAAAATAGCGAGGCCAAAGGTTAGAGGCTGGGCTCTCTCCTGACAGCCCAGTGGGCCTGCCTGGGTTTGTACCCTGGCTGCCACCTCTGTGCCCGGAAGCCCCCTTGAGCATGTGACTTCGCTGCCCTCCGCCTTGGTCTCCCCATCAGCAAGATGAGGGAGCCCCAGGCTCACATGCGTGCTTAGTGGGTGTTGCTTTTCGTGGACTGGCCTTTCTGTGGCGGCCCGGCAGGTTGGCGCCCTTTGTTCTAGCAGCTGCCTCTGCTCTTGGGCTGGCAGCCAGGTGGCTCTGGAAATGTCTCCCTGGCCTGGGCCCTGGCAAGCTGGGGCTGGAGGAGCAGGAAGGGTTAAGACTGCAGTAGGTGTGTCTGTCCCAGACGGGTGACTCAACAGGGCCTGGGGCCGGGCTGCCTGAGTTGCAGTTGCTCAGGCGCCTGGAGCAGGGCAGGGAGGAGCGGCTGGCCACCCGCCTGACAGGTCCAGGCGAGGGAGGGAGCAGCCTGGCCCGACCCACCACCGCACCCAGCAGCCCCAGGGCTGTCGCTGGAGTGGGTGGCCCGGCCATGGCCGGGCTGGGGCCTGGGGAGGCCAGTGTGTCTATCCTGCAGCGGCTGCTGGCCAATGCGGCCCTGAGGGACGAGGCCGGCAGGCTCCGGGGCCCCAAGCCCGGGACAGGCACGCCGTGGTCGGGGGTGAGTGCGGCGGTGAGGCAAGCCCCGTGCCCTTGGCTGTCCTGGCCAGCCGAGCCAGGGAGCAGGGGGGTTGGGGGGCTCGTGGGGAGCTGCTGAGGGCCTGAGTCCCATTGGTCCCCAGGCAGACCTCGGCAGGGAGCCAGGTGTCGTCCAAGGCTGTAGACGTGACCCTGGGACCGGCAGTCCAGTGCCCCTTGGTGCCAGGCCTGTGCTGGCACGCCGGTGAAGACCCATGTAGGCCCTTACACCAGCCCTATGGCGTGGGGCTCCACCCTGTGTCAGGACAGGGACCCGGCCCAGAGCGGTTCCGGTTCTGAGATGTGTGCAAGGTCACACAGCTGGAGCCTGACCCGGGCTGTGAGGCCGACTGGCAGCACTGACTTCTTTCTGGATCACTTCTTGCCTGATTGCCTCTGAGCGTTGTTTCTTTGTGCTTCTTCTCCTTACTCCCAGGGACTCCTAGGCTGGTCCCAGAAGGATCTGCAGAGTGAATTTGGGATCGCAGCAGACCTGCACCCCAGCAGCCCCCGGCCTCCCGGCTGGCCCCACGTTGCTTCTCAGGACTGTGGCCATGGGGCTGCCAGCCCAAGAGGAGCCCTGGGCCCAGGGCACAGGGACTGGGCCAGGGAGTGTGGCTCCGGAGCCGGGGAAGGGGGCGGAAGGGAGTGGGCTGACATCAGCAGCAGCAAAGCCCCGAGGGACACGTGTGCCCCGGAGCAGCTCATGGCCCACAGTGGCTGGGCGGTTAGACAGCCAGCCCCACTCGGCACCCTGGGGTGGGAGGCCGCTGCCCAGGACCCAGAGCCGGGGCGGAGGGACTCCGGGGACAGGTTCTCCAGTCTTCAGGCCGAACTGCAGGACCAGGAATTTGGGAAGAGAGACTCCCGGGACATGCTGTCCAGCCGGGTTGTGGAACTCCAGGAGCAGGAATTGGGGAAGAGGGATTCTTGGGACACGTTCCCCAGCCTCCATGCGGATTTCCAGGGCCAGGAGTTTGGGAAGAGGGACTCCCTGGGCCCGCACAGCAGCCAGGAGCCCAGCCTTCAGGACTGGGAGTTTGCGGCGGGAGGTTGCCTGGGCAGCAGTGCCCGCCAGCCTGAGGAGGAGCCAGCCCGGGAGTCGGGGAGTGAGGCGCCCTGCAGCTACAGCAGCCAGGATGCCGAGGCGCAGGACCGGGAGTTTGAGAAAAGGGACTCTTTGCTCGGAGTGCTCAGCCGTCCAGCTGAAGTGCCCAGGGCCCAGGTGTTGAGGCAGAGCCCTTGGATGCAGGACCACGGCGATGGCCCCAGAGAGCAGGACAGCACCTCCGATGTGGGAGCCCCAAGCTCTGGCCTCAGCCCCCAGGTGGCTCAGCGGCCGCAAGGGGAGTTTGAGAAGGCGCTGTGTGGCCAGGACGGCGGGGCCAAGGGCCCACCAGAGGAGCTGCAGGGCTGGCAGGGCAGTGGCACCAGCTGGGAGGTGGCAGGGGCTCTGGGCCCTGGGGAGGGCGGCCTTGGGGGTGGGGACACTGGGCAGCGGGGCTGGGCGGCGGAGCTGAGCCTGGGTGTTGCGCCGCAGCCAGAGGATGCTCTTAGCCCAGGGCCCCGGGACTGGGGAGAGGACCTGGTCCCGGACCCCGCCCTGAGGAGCACACAGTTCGGCATCATCGGTGATGACCGAGCGAGCGGTGCTGGCCCAAGTCCCCCCAGCACGGCGGGAGGTGGCCGCTTCGTGTCCCCCGGGGAGATGGTGTCCAGGCCCGGGGACTGGGCTGACCAGCTGGGCCTCAGGAACTTGGACGTGTCCCACTGTGGGGCCCCTGGGGACTTGGCTAAGGCCAGAGAGGTGGCCATCGGGCAGGTGGGCTGGCTGGATGGGGGCCTGGAAGTGCAAGGGTCGGGGGCCACTGGTGCAAGGGAGGAGGACTGGACTGTGGAGGTTGGGGTGCCAAGCATCCACCTGGCCGGGGACGGGGCAGCGGGCAGCCTCGGCCAGGCCAGGGACAGTGGCATGGGGCAGGCAGACTGGTCGGGCCTGGAGGCTGGCGAGTTCCTCAGATGCAGGGAGCGCGGTGTGGGGCAGGCAGCCTGGAGCCCCGACCTGGTGCTCGGGGGCGTGGTCTCCAGGGATCCCAGAGAGCTGGGGGTGCGCCCAGGGAGCTGGGGTGATGACCTGGGCCTGAGGAACTTGGAGGTGCCCTGTGACCTGGACTCGGGGGGTGCCCGCGGCTGTGGTGTGGGCCGGGACCGGGGCAGGGGGCTGTCAGGGCCCCCAAGTGGAGCCAGGGAGCATGGGGCAGGGGAGGCGGGCCCCAGCCTGGAGCGAGACTTCAGGAGCAGCAGGTGCTCATCCCCCCGCTTGGAGGCCAGAGAGTCCAGAGAGTCGGGGGTCAGAGAGCCCCAGGGTGCAGACGGCTGTGGGTCTTCCCCGGAGGCCCCCTCTGAGGACGCCGGACCAGAGACGGCAGGAGCCACCGCCCTTGCAGCCAGGTAAGGGAGCCCCATCCAGGCCGGTTCGGAGTCTTTCCCTTTGGGGCTTGTTTTGTTCTGCTTCTTAAATTGTGTTGAGGTAGCACGCACACAGGCAGATTCTGCTTTTGAAGTGTGAATGAGTTCAGGGCATTTCCTGTTGCCCCATGTGATTCAGGCTTTCTCCGTGACCTGGGGCCTCGGCTGTGCGGGAAGTGGAGTCTTCCAGACTTGCATGGTTTCCGGTGGGCTCTGCTTCGGTACTGACCGAAGTTGCAGGTGTCCCCTGGGCCAGGTTACAGGGAGGGGGACCTTGTGTCTCCCCGGCCTGGTGTGCTGTGGCCCTGGGCTTCTGAGGTTGGGAGTGGGGCTGTCCCAGAGCTCCCAGGGGCAGCAGCTCTGGAACCTGGCTCTGGCCAGGACCTGGGATCCTGCCCAGTGCTGGAGGATGGCTGGTCCAGGAGCAGGCTGGTCCTCAGTGAGATCCAAAGCGTCTCCCGATGGACGCTCTTGGCCTCCTGGAGAGGGTGTGAAAAGGCAGCTCCTCTGTTTGGCTAGCATTTTCGCCCACGGAGGCCCGAGTGGGAAGGTGGCAGCTCCCAGCCCGGGTGGAGCTGGGGCCCTGGAGGGGGCAGGTGTTTGCACTGAGGGGGGCAGATGGGAGTGGGAGGAGGTGGGAGCTGGCCCCAGGCGGCAGAGGCAGGGCGTGTGCGGCATTTGAGAGGGAGGGAGGCGGAGGGGCTCCAGGAGCACGAGGCGAGAGCTGTGTGGAGGGCAGGAGCCCGGCATCAGCGCGGACTCGGTGTGGCCGCCTGGATCTCGAGTTCCTCCTTGATCTGCAGTTGCCCTGGTAGGGGGATGGATCCGCTCTGGGGCAGAGGCAGCAGAGCGCCCCGTTTGTTTCTGTCCGGCTGCAGGCCTGCAGCACCCACCTGACCTTGCAGAGGTCCCTGGGTGGTGGTGGTGGGGGCGGGCTCCGGTCGGGGCTGTGGTTGTTGATGTGCGAGCCCAGGTGCAGCCAGTGATGTCGGGCCTCA